AACTGGTTGGTGCCATTAACGGATAAAGTCATCCAAGCTTTCTTTTCTCCTTTCCATCACAAACTGCACCTATTCTACCTTGTACATTCTTCAAGGAAAACCCCTTTTTCTTTTCTGCAATTCTATTTTATTGTGTAAATATTGTGTTATAGTTTAAACTTACGAGAGTTAGATTTTGTGAGTGTATAAATTATATTTTGTATCTGTGTTAAATAATTTATGTTGCTGTACAAGATTATTTTTAGTTATTTGTATATGTTCTTTTTTACAATTTATTGATAAATTAATTTGAGAATAAAGATAGGAAAGATAAAATAAAAGGGACAATCCCTTGAGAAATTATGGATAAAGATAAGAAAAGGATGGTGTTTTGAGATTATTGAATAAGTTTTTATAACTTGCAATTTAAACTAGGGGCTCAGGATTAAATTTAAGAAATATATTGTAAAAAATAAATGTACATGCTGTATCTAAACTCAAGCGTAAAACAAAACATATTTAATTTTCACTTGTTAAAATATTAGTTAAATTTATTTAACTTTCATGATTTAATTAGAAAAATTATAAACTAGGATAAAGAGCATAATTTAGTAAGAATATTTGATTTAATATTGTAATTTTGATTGATAAATAAGTGTGCGATATAATGGTACAATATAATTTCCAAATATGTAATACATTAATGTCACCACAATATAAGAAAAGAATTAAAATTGAAAATTTATAATATACATGGAAGATTCAATTGACACCATTAGATGAAATACTGTTATCTCTTAATCTTTCTGTTAATTCTCTCAACAGTGCATTAAAGTTAATATTATCTAAAATTTAAAACACTTTTATTAACTATTGATAGCTATAGTAAAGATTTTTTCTTGAAATTACGAGACCAAAAACCTCTTTTATATTTTTAATGAAAAAAAAAATCATTTTTAATTCCTTAACTCTTGCCTTGAAAGTAATGGGTAAGACTTGACAAAATCAAACTTATAATGTTTACAAATATTAAATATTAAATATGTTTGTATCAATGTTTATAATTAAGACAAAATGATCACAAATCACTACACCAAACGTATTCAACAATGAACATGACTAAAAAAACAATATATTGAGCTGAAATCAAGTTTTGTGAGTAAAAAGTTATACCTGTTATCCTGTTCGATATAACATGTTTTGTGAGTAAAAAGTATGCAGCACCAAATACTTGAAAAAGAGAAGTGAATCTGCGTAATGGACATGGCTGTTTTGTAATTTCGTCGTGTTTTCATTGTAAAAGAAGTATTCCTTATTCTTTTCAAATGAACCGAGTCACATCAATCTAATAAACATGAGATCGAAGACATGCAGAAGTGTATTTCACAAACGTTCAGTTTCTTACTAAGCCAATTTATTCATGTTCTTGACATGTTCTTATGACAAATCACAATGGTTGAATTCAAAGGATATGGGAGAACAACATTCATACCTTTCATGGACCAAGAAACTGCCATGAAAAGTACGTGGTCCACCAACCAAAATTCTGCCTCCATGCATGATATATAGGCAAGCTCTTAGTCTGATGCAGTTGACTCACGGTATCTAAACTGTGTTATTAGAATCCTTGACTTCAACGAGTTCTCATTAGCTTCCAAGATCATGGAGAATGAAAGAGAAGATGAGATTGAGGACATGTCAACGTCACCCCCGTCTCTGGGCTCCCTGCAATTTGCAGGGAGCAATGGCTTTGGTCACAGCATGGAGTTCATGTCTCAGGCATACCTTCCCAATATGTACACTGATATTGACATAAAAATTGAGGATTCCAATTTCAACCAAGATCCCCCCCTCCCCATTTATCTCAAGGTAGAGAAAATTAGTCAAACTCTGCAACTTAATCAGGATTTTCTTTCCTCCTACATCACTAGAAATTATTGCATGGTTAGAAACTATGTACACAAAATTTTGGTCAATTTTGTTGAAAGTAATTCAAACGTGAGTCTAAGTTTCATATCAGACAGAGATAACAACGTTATACATCATATAAAATGAAAGACACATAAACCTAATAACATGAGATTTTAGATTAAAACTGGTGTGAAATTCTTATCTGGGTGTGGATTAATGTCACATAATTTTGGTCAATTTCAGTGACATGTAAACTAGCTTTTCAATTTATGAAAAAGAGTTAATGAAACTCAGCTACACACTGCTGCGTATGTCTCAAGTGAAAATTGGCAGGAACTGACCCAGATCATATGATAATTTATTCTTTTGCGTTAGGGCAAAGTTTTTCTTTTTATCAGAATCGTAGTTCGTCATGCAATGCACTTCGAGGGTCTTGATGATTTTCCACTTTTATTGAAAACTGATTTCAGTCTGTCATAGTATTATCATCAACAGTGTTTTGTTCCTGATTGTGTAGTTATGATTGTTGTCATTTGCCTTAAAGATTCTCAATATTGTGCAGTTTGAGGATGTAGAGTATAAGGTGAGAGCTAGCCAAGCGGCTTCCACTAATCCTGTGAAGTCAGTGATGTCAAAAGTTGCCATACAACACAACCTGGGAGAAGATAAATACAAGAAAATTTTGAAGGGTATGACAGGAAGCATTGGCCCTGGTGAAATTCTTGCTTTGATGGGTCCTTCTGGGAGTGGAAAGACAACCTTGTTGAGAGTTGTAGGGGGAAGATTAGTTGAAAACGTAAAGGGAAAGATAACTTACAATGACGTTCGATTTAATGCAGCTGTCAAGAGAAGGTTAGAAAACTTCATAGGAATCAGAATCCATGCATGACTTGAGCTTTGATATTTAACAGAACATGATGGCTATCAGACTATACGCTAATGTTGACTCTTGTGTTTGTTTTTATTTTCTGTGTAATAGGATTGGCTTTGTTACACAAGAGGATGTGCTTTTCCCACAACTTACAGTAGAGGAAACATTGATCTTCTCTGCATTCTTAAGGTTACCGGGCAATATGAGCGAGCAACAAAAATATGCAAGAGTGGAGACCACTATCAAGGAGCTAGGCCTTGAAAGGTGTGTCTAGAATATTACTGAATGCTTAAATTAGCTACAAGTTCCTCCAAAAGAAAGAAATGAAACTGTTTGCCTGAATAATCTCTTGTGTAACCATAGATGTCGCCACACAAAAATAGGTGGAGGATATCTCAAAAGCATATCTGGAGGAGAAAGGAAGCGAACCAGCATAGGCTATGAAATCCTTGTTGATCCTTCACTGCTTCTACTTGATGAACCAACTTCAGGCCTTGATTCCACAGCAGCAAATAGACTCCTTCTCACTCTTCAGGGACTTGCCAAGGTATCAGTACTTATATTTAAGTGTCATTTTGAGTCTTTTTTTTAAGTATTTGGGTCAAATTTGTTCAAAAATTACAAAAATAGATAAGTCAAAAAATAATTACTAATCATAGATTAAGTTGTGTAAATTTATGATGACTTCAAAAACAAAATCGTGAGGACTCCAGAAGTCATAAGTCATGACAACTTTAAAGTTCTCACAATTTTGTTTTTGAAGTCGTCGTAAATTCGTCCATACATGATAGTTATTTTATGACTTGTCCATTTTCATAATTTTCTGGGTAAATTTCCACATATATGTAAAAAAACCATCATTTTGATAACATGTTTCAAGTCTAGATTCACAATTTGGAATATATGCTGAAAACACTTCTGATTTAGGGTGGAAGGACCATAATCACAACAATTCACCAGCCATCCAGCAGAATCTTTCACATGTTTGACAAACTTCTTCTTATATCAGAAGGATACCCCATTTACTATGGGAAGGCCAAGGACACAATGCAGTACTTTTCATCGTTGAGTTTCACCCCGGAAATACCAATGAATCCTGCAGAATTCATGCTTGACTTGGCAACTGGACAAGTGAATAACATAAGCTTTCCTCAAGATACTTTCAAAGATCAAGAATCTGCCGACCGCTCAAAATCTGTTATTAAAGTAAGACTCTGCATTATATATCTTTTATGCATGTTCAATCTCATTATACCACTTAATAATCGTTCCGTTATTCTTAGTATCTACAACTGAAGTATAAGGAAACACTGGAACCAAAAGAAAAAGATGAGAATCATGGAGCAGCAAACACACCAGAACATCTTCAGCTTGCCATTCAGGTTAAAAAGGACTGGACAGTGAGTTGGTTGGACCAATTCTTCATTCTTTACAAGAGAACATTCAGAGCAAGATGCAAGGACTATTTTGATAAATTAAGATTAGTTCAAGCACTTGGCATTGCTCTTTTGTTGGGGCTACTTTGGTGGAAATCCTCAACCACTACAGAGGCTCAAGTTAGAGATCAGGTAGTTTTTTCGATGATTTTGTTTTCACATTTTACAAGGCTGGGACATTAACATTAGAACGAACCACTATCTTTGTGCAGGTTGGATTAATGTTCTATATCTGTATATTCTGGACATCTTCATGCATTTTTGGAGCAGTCTATGTCTTTCCATTTGAAAAGGTCTATTTGGTGAAAGAAAGGAAAGCAGATATGTATAGACTGAGTGTATACTACGTAAGCAGCACTCTGTGTGATATGGTGGCGCATGTTTTTTACCCTACTTTCTTCATGCTTATCTTGTACTTCATGGCTGGGTTTAAGAGGACTGTTGCTTGCTTCTTCCTGACTTTGTTCGCGGTGCTGCTAATAGCTATAACAAGTCAAGTAAGCCATATTGAGGGTTTTGTTTACATATATGGAACAACTTTGTGTAAATATTATGAAAATGGACAAATAAAAAAGAAATATTACTCATGAGATAAGTTGTGTGGATGAACTATCAACTCTGATACCAATTGTAGGAAGAGACAATACACATAGATCTCTACAATAGTAAAATATCGTCCATTCTGGGCCAAACCCTCACGAATTTGCTTTTGGTACCACTTCAAAGTATCTCTTACAAAGAAAGTTTTTTACATGTATAAAAACTCGTGTTCACCTCTTGTTTTATCTCGTGTAGAACTTTGTTTATATTCTAACAATCCTTTCAATAAGATNAGCCAAAGCCAAAACCTGCATCATTCCAATGACATGATTAGTGCATCAGAAACCAGGAAAGGGGGTGGAATAGTCCTTTTTCAGATGTATTAAATGCTTTACAAAACAGAAGAAAAGAAGGGAAGGGTGTGTGTGTGTGTGTGATTCTTCACCTTTGTAAAAGAAATGGTTTTTCTAAAAAGAATGAACTCCGCAAGAACAATTGTAGGGGTGACAGCAATCTTAGCCATTTGGTAGAAACCAACACTGGAAAAAGATGGATTGTCAGCACACAGTAAAACTCTGAATATTTTAATACGAAGATGCTAACTAAAGCAAGAGCAAGAACCTGTTATACTGGAGGCTAGTGTTTGCAAGGCCAGAGGCAAAGGCCATGACAGCACCAAGTGCAAATAAAGAAGAGAATGGAGTTGTTTTGGATGGAGGAGACACAGGAAGCACCGAGAGTGTCTTGAAAATGGCAAGCAGAAGCCATGCAGTGATGTAGTGTACAAATGTGAGAAAAATTGGGAAGTTGAAGCCAACTTTACCCATCACCTGTTAACATAATTACATAAAATTCAAGTGTAAGGGTGCTTGATCAATAGGCTGAACTTCTTGAGAGGTACCAGATACCAATTCAGGCCATCACATTATAAAATTCAAGCAAAAGAAAAGATGCAAATTGTGCTGACCAATTTGTTTGCCATGATAATTCCGACAGCAACCATAAAGTTGAAGGACAGTGCCACCACTGGTCCACAATATTTTTGCTGTTGTCGCTTTGCTCCTTCTGAGGTTCGGATCTCATTGTAGAGTGAAGCTCTGAGTTCTTCCAGTGCTTTACCTGATAGTTTGATTCAACAGAGAAACAAGAATGGAGCAGAAGGGAAGATGATGTTAAAGAAAAAGCAAGAAAACCAAGATGAATATCAGATACTAATCATATATCTTCCTTTCACATTATTCATTTCATGCTCTCATTCCCTATTTTCCAAACACAGGTCCAAACAATTTACGTAGTGGTTTCAAAGGACGACCAATCAAAGTTGCAGAAAAACAAACAGAGCAGTATCAGTTCAATCCAAAATGCAATTGGTGTGAGAAAATTTCCATGATCAGAAAGACCTTGAGATGCAATCATAATAGAGCATAACATAAACTGCGGAAAAAGAACAGAAAATAAAAGTAACGTAACAAACTTATAATCTACGACCGCCAAAACCGGAGTATCCAATGCTTTTTATGCGATAAAATATTATTTCACACAAAAAGGACATTAACATAGTTGAGATCTATTCATTACATTAAAAAGTTCAGAAAACAAATCCCAGAAAAAACAAGCATACATGAACAAACATAGGTAAAAGCGAAAGTCTGATATAACATCATTGTAAAAATTAGATGCATAAGATGCAATGAGATGAGCTAAGAAATTCAGAAAAGACCTGTATCACCAGCATCACTGTCTTTCCTTTTAATAAACCTTCGTCCTCCTCTCCACAGTGAACCCAAAAGCTCCATTACTAAGTGGCCTATTCATGGATTTGGATCACACATGCCATGAAAATGCAAGGCACCCTTTGAAAAACACATGCATTTCTATCATTATATCTATACCAATTACATGGAGAAGCCAAAACAGAAAGGCAGAGAGAAAAGGGTGATGATACAGATACGAATTAATAGGCCAGGTTGCTTAAAATGCAAAAGACAGAAAATTTACATGGTTGAAGGAGGGGTTTCTGAAATGAAAAATGAACTGCATGAAGGAAAAAGAAAAAGACAAAAGAAAAGTGAAAGGAATTTACTTTCTGTTCCAAGTGAATAATCATAATAATAATAATTATAATAATTCATGAGAGTGCCAACAAAACGGCAACACGTGTTCATCATATGAACCTAGAAGAAAGTGTAGGTGAGGGTAGTAGCAACACCTGTCTACCTCGTATACTAGGAATTGATGTAACTGTTGATTTACGGGGAAGTTAATGTGACATCATGAAATCAAATATTGTTATATATATCATTATGACATAGTCAAGACACCTGTTGCAACCACCGTCATGCACTCTTTTATTGTTTTTAGGTATCTTTCTTTAATTTCATGCCTTCAACAACACAAAAAATCTTCTTTTCTGCTCAACTTGATGCAGAAGTTTCATCTTACTCAGCACAAATCCACATTTTGCTTTTCTGATGTTTCACCAACTGGTTGGTGCCATTAACGGATAAAGTCATCCAAGCTTTCTTTTCTCCTTTCCATCACAAACTGCACCTATTCTACCTTGTACATTCTTCAAGGAAAACCCCTTTTTCTTTTCTGCAATTCTATTTTATTGTGTAAATATTGTGTTATAGTTTAAACTTACGAGAGTTAGATTTTGTGAGTGTATAAATTATATTTTGTATCTGTGTTAAATAATTTATGTTGCTGTACAAGATTATTTTTAGTTATTTGTATATGTTCTTTTTTACAATTTATTGATAAATTAATTTGAGAATAAAGATAGGAAAGATAAAATAAAAGGGACAATCCCTTGAGAAATTATGGATAAAGATAAGAAAAGGATGGTGTTTTGAGATTATTGAATAAGTTTTTATAACTTGCAATTTAAACTAGGGGCTCAGGATTAAATTTAAGAAATATATTGTAAAAAATAAATGTACATGCTGTATCTAAACTCAAGCGTAAAACAAAACATATTTAATTTTCACTTGTTAAAATATTAGTTAAATTTATTTAACTTTCATGATTTAATTAGAAAAATTATAAACTAGGATAAAGAGCATAATTTAGTAAGAATATTTGATTTAATATTGTAATTTTGATTGATAAATAAGTGTGCGATATAATGGTACAATATAATTTCCAAATATGTAATACATTAATGTCACCACAATATAAGAAAAGAATTAAAATTGAAAATTTATAATATACATGGAAGATTCAATTGACACCATTAGATGAAATACTGTTATCTCTTAATCTTTCTGTTAATTCTCTCAACAGTGCATTAAAGTTAATATTATCTAAAATTTAAAACACTTTTATTAACTATTGATAGCTATAGTAAAGATTTTTTCTTGAAATTACGAGACCAAAAACCTCTTTTATATTTTTAATGAAAAAAAAAATCATTTTTAATTCCTTAACTCTTGCCTTGAAAGTAATGGGTAAGACTTGACAAAATCAAACTTATAATGTTTACAAATATTAAATATTAAATATGTTTGTATCAATGTTTATAATTAAGACAAAATGATCACAAATCACTACACCAAACGTATTCAACAATGAACATGACTAAAAAAACAATATATTGAGCTGAAATCAAGTTTTGTGAGTAAAAAGTTATACCTGTTATCCTGTTCGATATAACATGTTTTGTGAGTAAAAAGTATGCAGCACCAAATACTTGAAAAAGAGAAGTGAATCTGCGTAATGGACATGGCTGTTTTGTAATTTCGTCGTGTTTTCATTGTAAAAGAAGTATTCCTTATTCTTTTCAAATGAACCGAGTCACATCAATCTAATAAACATGAGATCGAAGACATGCAGAAGTGTATTTCACAAACGTTCAGTTTCTTACTAAGCCAATTTATTCATGTTCTTGACATGTTCTTATGACAAATCACAATGGTTGAATTCAAAGGATATGGGAGAACAACATTCATACCTTTCATGGACCAAGAAACTGCCATGAAAAGTACGTGGTCCACCAACCAAAATTCTGCCTCCATGCATGATATATAGGCAAGCTCTTAGTCTGATGCAGTTGACTCACGGTATCTAAACTGTGTTATTAGAATCCTTGACTTCAACGAGTTCTCATTAGCTTCCAAGATCATGGAGAATGAAAGAGAAGATGAGATTGAGGAAATGTCAACGTCACCCCCGTCTCTGGGCTCCCTGCAATTTGCAGGGAGCAATGGCTTTGGTCACAGCATGGAGTTCATGTCTCAGGCATACCTTCCCAATATGTACACTGATATTGACATAAAAATTGAGGATTCCAATTTCAACCAAGATCCCCCCCTCCCCATTTATCTCAAGGTAGAGAAAATTAGTCAAACTCTGCAACTTAATCAGGATTTTCTTTCCTCCTACATCACTAGAAATTATTGCATGGTTAGAAACTATGTACACAAAATTTTGGTCAATTTTGTTGAAAGTAATTCAAACGTGAGTCTAAGTTTCATATCAGACAGAGATAACAACGTTATACATCATATAAAATGAAAGACACATAAACCTAATAACATGAGATTTTAGATTAAAACTGGTGTGAAATTCTTATCTGGGTGTGGATTAATGTCACATAATTTTGGTCAATTTCAGTGACATGTAAACTAGCTTTTCAATTTATGAAAAAGAGTTAATGAAACTCAGCTACACACTGCTGCGTATGTCTCAAGTGAAAATTGGCAGGAACTGACCCAGATCATATGATAATTTATTCTTTTGCGTTAGGGCAAAGTTTTTCTTTTTATCAGAATCGTAGTTCGTCATGCAATGCACTTCGAGGGTCTTGATGATTTTCCACTTTTATTGAAAACTGATTTCAGTCTGTCATAGTATTATCATCAACAGTGTTTTGTTCCTGATTGTGTAGTTATGATTGTTGTCATTTGCCTTAAAGATTCTCAATATTGTGCAGTTTGAGGATGTAGAGTATAAGGTGAGAGCTAGCCAAGCGGCTTCCACTAATCCTGTGAAGTCAGTGATGTCAAAAGTTGCCATACAACACAACCTGGGAGAAGATAAATACAAGAAAATTTTGAAGGGTATGACAGGAAGCATTGGCCCTGGTGAAATTCTTGCTTTGATGGGTCCTTCTGGGAGTGGAAAGACAACCTTGTTGAGAGTTGTAGGGGGAAGATTAGTTGAAAACGTAAAGGGAAAGATAACTTACAATGACGTTCGATTTAATGCAGCTGTCAAGAGAAGGTTAGAAAACTTCATAGGAATCAGAATCCATGCATGACTTGAGCTTTGATATTTAACAGAACATGATGGCTATCAGACTATACGCTAATGTTGACTCTTGTGTTTGTTTTTATTTTCTGTGTAATAGGATTGGCTTTGTTACACAAGAGGATGTGCTTTTCCCACAACTTACAGTAGAGGAAACATTGATCTTCTCTGCATTCTTAAGGTTACCAGGCAATATGAGCGAGCAACAAAAATATGCAAGAGTGGAGACCACTATCAAGGAGCTAGGCCTTGAAAGGTGTGTCTAGAATATTACTGAATGCTTAAATTAGCTACAAGTTCCTCCAAAAGAAAGAAATGAAACTGTTTGCCTGAATAATCTCTTGTGTAACCATAGATGTCGCCACACAAAAATAGGTGGAGGATATCTCAAAAGCATATCTGGAGGAGAAAGGAAGCGAACCAGCATAGGCTATGAAATCCTTGTTGATCCTTCACTGCTTCTACTTGATGAACCAACTTCAGGCCTTGATTCCACAGCAGCAAATAGACTCCTTCTCACTCTTCAGGGACTTGCCAAGGTATCAGTACTTATATTTAAGTGTCATTTTGAGTCTTTTTTTTAAGTATTTGGGTCAAATTTGTTCAAAAATTACAAAAATAGATAAGTCAAAAAATAATTACTAATCATAGATTAAGTTGTGTAAATTTATGATGACTTCAAAAACAAAATCGTGAGGACTCCAGAAGTCATAAGTCATGACAACTTTAAAGTTCTCACAATTTTGTTTTTGAAGTCGTCGTAAATTCGTCCATACATGATAGTTATTTTATGACTTGTCCATTTTCATAATTTTCTGGGTAAATTTCCACATATATGTAAAAAAACCATCATTTTGATAACATGTTTCAAGTCTAGATTCACAATTTGGAATATATGCTGAAAACACTTCTGATTTAGGGTGGAAGGACCATAATCACAACAATTCACCAGCCATCCAGCAGAATCTTTCACATGTTTGACAAACTTCTTCTTATATCAGAAGGATACCCCATTTACTATGGGAAGGCCAAGGACACAATGCAGTACTTTTCATCGTTGAGTTTCACCCCGGAAATACCAATGAATCCTGCAGAATTCATGCTTGACTTGGCAACTGGACAAGTGAATAACATAAGCTTTCCTCAAGATACTTTCAAAGATCAAGAATCTGCCGACCGCTCAAAATCTGTTATTAAAGTAAGACTCTGCATTATATATCTTTTATGCATGTTCAATCTCATTATACCACTTAATAATCGTTCCGTTATTCTTAGTATCTACAACTGAAGTATAAGGAAACACTAGAACCAAAAGAAAAAGATGAGAATCATGGAGCAGCAAACACACCAGAACATCTTCAGCTTGCCATTCAGGTTAAAAAGGACTGGACAGTGAGTTGGTTGGACCAATTCTTCATTCTTTACAAGAGAACATTCAGAGCAAGATGCAAGGACTATTTTGATAAATTAAGATTAGTTCAAGCACTTGGCATTGCTCTTTTGTTGGGGCTACTTTGGTGGAAATCCTCAACCACTACAGAGGCTCAAGTTAGAGATCAGGTAGTTTTTTCGATGATTTTGTTTTCACATTTTACAAGGCTGGGACATTAACATTAGAACGAACCACTATCTTTGTGCAGGTTGGATTAATGTTCTATATCTGTATATTCTGGACATCTTCATGCATTTTTGGAGCAGTCTATGTCTTTCCATTTGAAAAGGTCTATTTGGTGAAAGAAAGGAAAGCAGATATGTATAGACTGAGTGTATACTACGTAAGCAGCACTCTGTGTGATATGGTGGCGCATGTTTTTTACCCTACTTTCTTCATGC